TGCGCCTGGAGCCCCGTGGCGCCCTAGTCCTGCCCTGCATTCTCCCATGCTGCATGCGCTGTTTGATCGATCGACATGAGGTCACCCGATCCTGTCGGTGCAGGCGAGGTCCGGGAAAGCGGCTGACTGCAGGGGTCATGCCACGATTGTCTTAGATGTCGAAGTCGCGGCTCCTGTCGCCATGGAGCCAATGTGGGTGACCTGCTGCTCGATGGTGGACCATAGCTGGGAGCCATCCATGTTCGCTGTGCCCGACCTCGCCGCCTGCAGGACGGCCTGAAGCTGCTGGATGGCGACAGAGACGTTGGCCATCGCGGGGGCGCCGCCAGTCGCCGCTACCGCCGCCACGGCCGACTGGGCCTGAGCGACCTCCGCGTGGAGGGTGGACGTCTCCGCCTCGAGCCCGCTGAGCTGCTGCTTGGCCTCGACGAGCTCCGACTCCATCTGCTCGACCTGCGCGGCCTTGGCTGAGCGTTCGGACTCCTTGGCCGTCCATCTGTCCTTGGCGCTCCTGAGCAGGTCCGAGGGATCCATCTGGGCACGTAATGCAGACTCTGCTTTGTCGTGGTCGGCCTTGGCGGCGATGACCAGCTCGTGATCGTCACGGTAGATCCGTCGTAAGGCCAGCCCAGCTCGCTTTGACTTCGCTGCTGCTGACTGCTGAGGCGTGACATCACCAGCAGCCTGAGGAGCAGCGAGAGCAGGATCAGCCCGATCGCGCCAGGGCGCCTCTGCCCCGCGCGACGGGGGCCTCCTGCGATTGGGTGTCCTCTTGGGGACGACCGTGGGCTTGCCTCCTCTGTCTCGGCCACATGCCCAACACGTCGCCCTGCTGGAGTAGTTGTTGCGGAAGCCGCAGGCCTTCGTCGCATTGCATGGCCAGACCTCCTCATTCTTCTGCATAAGCTGAGGCTCTGGCTCAGCAGGCGGGGCACTGCCGTGGTGAGCCTGCAGGAGCCGCCTGGCCGCAGCCTCGCGCAGGGTCTGCCGCGCGATGGCGCGGCGCCTCCTCAAGCGGCGATGCCAGGCCGGCGACGGGGCACGCCCACAGGGGCCGCTCGTCGCCGCAGCTGCGCCTGCGCCCGCCGTCGGGCTGCAGGCTGGGGCCAGATGGATGCGCCCGCCGCGCGCCCCCGCGCGCGTGGGAGCCCAAATGGCAGCCTGGAGGAGGAGGAGGAGGAGGAGGAGGAGGAGGAGGAGGAGGAGGAGGAGGAGGAGGAGGAGGAGGAGGAGGAGGAGGGAGGAGGAAGGAGGAGGAGGAGGAGTTGCGATCGAGGAGAGGGAGGGGGCGGAGGCTGGGCACCCTCCCCCCCCACTCCTCGCCCCGCTTCCTCGCGCTGCCCGTCCCCTCCCCCCCTGCCCAGAGCGGCGGGACCCCCGTGGGCAGAGGGCGGATGGATGACAGAGCCGGCCGACCGCGGAGCGAAAAGAAGAAGGAAGATCAGACGGGGCCAGGGCCGCGACACATTGTTCCAGAGCGTCGCCGAGCCTGAAAACGGGTCAGCGGGGAGCGGCGCCCGAAAACGTCGCTGCGCGCGTCGCGGCGTAGATACCCATCGGTCGTTGAAAGTAGGTATTTTGGGATTCCCAGGTTCCAATCTACTTTCAGCGCCTTCCTACTTCAAGAGTCGAGTGGTTTTCCCTTTTCCCTCCTCTCCAGGAGGCGGGCGGAAACCCAACATATCAGTAAGGGATTCGCCCCCTGCCGCCGGCCCCCTCTTTATCAGAATGGGATACATCAGAGCTATCTTGGGATGTTCGGGCGCCGTCTTCATGACACTCGGGAACGTCATGCTAGGGCGGCTGGCGATGAGCAAAACGGATTGAGATGTTGAAGTTGTTGTTGAACGTTTTGCTGCCTTCTTGGCATTTTCCTCCAGTTGTTCACTGGAAGCGCTCTGGGCACGGCTGGGGATTGCTTCAGGCAATCTCTGGGAAGGTTATTTTTTTCTGCTCTGGAGAAGGAGTGACGCCTTTGGGCAGCTTCCGCGAGGTGGATTCGTAGCTTGGGGCGTGCGCGCGAATTTGGTGTAATTTGCGGGGGACCGTGGCCTCGGGGACGCGACTGCGGCGTAATTTACGAGGGATCGTGGCCTGGGGGGCGCGACAGCGGCGGAGTTTACGAGGGATCGTTGCCTCGGGGGCGCGAATGTGGTTTAATTCACGCGGGATCGTGGCCTCGAGTGCGCAAGTGTGGCGTAACTTACGAGGGATCGTGGCCTGGGGGGCTGAATGTGGAACCCACCGCCGAATTTTCCAGATACCGGGGGGACAGAAGAATACCAGCGGAGCACATATCCCAATACAGAAAATTGTTGTTTTTCAGCTTTGGAGAGGGGGAGCGCCTTGTCGGCAGCCTCCACAAGGCGGATTCGTGGCCTCGAGGGCGCGCCCGCTGCATAATTTTCGAGGGATCGTGGCGTCAGGGGCGCGAATTTGTTGTAATTTACCAGGGGTCGTGGCCTCGGGGGCGCGAACATGAGGTAAATGTTGTAGGATCGTGGCTTCGGGGGCGCGAATGCGGCGTACATTACGAGGGATCGTGGCCTCGAGGGCGCGACTATGGAGTAATTTACAAGGGATCGTGGCCTCGGAGACGCAAATGAGGTGTAAATTCCGAGGGATCGTGGCCTCGGAGACGCGAATGTGGCGGTATTTACCAGGGATCGTGGCCTCGGGGGCGCGAATAAAGTGTAATCTGCGAGGGGTTATGGCTTGGGGTACACAGAACTCTTGTATGTTTACGTGTCCCACGCCCCCCCAGAAATTCTGAGAAACCTCCCGGGGGACGCTAACCATGGCCCTTTTCGGCTCCCCCCCCTCGCGCGGACAGTAACAATTCACAGTAGGAAGCAGAAAGCAGTACTGCAACAATGGAAACTGGACACTGGAACTGGCGCAGGGAGCAGCAACCTTAATCCTCGCAGCCTGATGGCCCCGCAAGGGGGCCGGCGGATTTCCAACGCCTTCCTGCTTCATGCTTCTGCCTGCTGCTCCCGACCGATGGGCACAGCTACGAAGGGCGTCGCGGAGCGCTTCGGAGAGGCCGCGGCGCCCGAAAACGGGTCAGGGCGGATCCCGTCAGGGCTCAGCGGAATCTGCGCACGCTGGGGAACCACGCCCAGCGGCCCCTGGGCCTGGGCCTTGGCATCGCTCGGACGTGTGCCTTTCTTTCTCGGCGAGAACCAGCGAGGACCAGCCTGGACCATCGAGCCAAAAAAAAAACACGTACGAAACCGAAACATGCACCGGAAATGAACGTCCGAGCGACGGCAAGGGGCCACTAGGAGTGCCTGGGACCTGACCCGCTGCAAGATTGTGTGCGGCCAAACGGTTCCCAGGGCGGCCCAAGACGTTCTCAGGTCGCACCCCCATGACGGCCTCGAGGGAATCCAGGCGGCCAAACACGGCCCAAAGAGCCCCAAGACGGACGGCCCAAGAGAGTTCCCCAAAAGGCTCCCGAGATGCAACAGGCATTGATTGCGAAGGCCTGACGGCCGGTGCCGCCGACCCTGTTCGCAATGCGCAGCAAGAGGCACGGGCTGTGGGATGGTTTTGGGGAACGGGGAGAAGGACGAGAAGGTGGGGGAGGGAGGTGTCGTATCTGACCCGGGACTTCCCCGGGACTCCCCCGGGACCCCCCCCGGGACCCCCTCTCCCTCCCCCGGCGGGGAAGGGAAAGGGAAGGGGCTTCCCTTCGACTCAATTACGACGTTGCTCAAGGTCGGTACGGGGGGGGGCCGTCGTGTCTGACCTGGGGGGGGGTCGCTACCGCCCCCCGCTACCCCCCCCTCCCCTCCCGGCGGGGGAGGGATCAAAGGGAAGGGGCTTCCCTTCGACTCAATTACGAGGTTGCTCAAGGTCGGCTTGGCTGGAGCCCAGGGGAAGAGGAGTCCCAGGGGGGGGCGTCGTATCTGACCCGGGGGGGGGGTCGCTACCCCCCCCCCCTCCCGGCGGGGGAGGGATCAAAGGGAAGGGGCTTCCCTTCGACTCAATTACGAGGTTGCTCAAGGTCGGCTTGGCTGGAGCCCAGGGGAAGAGGAGTCCCAGGGGGGGGCGTCGTATCTGACCCGGGGGGGGGGTCGCTACCCCCCCCCCCCCTCCCGGCGGGGGAGGGATCAAAGGGAAGGGGCTTCCCTTCGACTCAATTACGAGGTTGCTCAAGGTCGGCTTGGCTGGAGCCCAGGGGAAGAGGAGTCCCAGGGGGGGGCGTCGTATCTGACCCGGGGGGGAGGGGGGGAGGGATCAAAGGGAAGGGGCTTCCCTTCGACTCAATTACGAGGTTGCTCAAGGTCGGCTTGGCTGGAGCCCAGGGGAAGAGGAGTCCCAGGGAAAGGGAAGGACAGAGACGACGAGTACAAAGAATGACGGAGATGACGGCTCGAACGGAAAAGCCCCTCACACACGCCGACAGGGTCGGCGGATTTTCCAATCAGGTGCTTGGAAGATATTAATATTGACTCCTTCTCGGTCCTAGGAGCATTCAGCCCAAGGGGTTGTAGGTTTCTCCGAGACCACCGAAACCATCCATGTGAGTGCACTCAGAGTTCAACCACATAATAGCCCAAGAAAGCCTCACGACTGCCCCAGGGGGGCTCATACCGCCTCCAAAGGGACCCAAGAGAGAGAGAGAGATTCCCCCTGAAAAGCTCCCATATAGCTTTGAGACGGTCCAAGAAGGCACTTAGATGTCAACCATAGGACGGCCGACGAGAGCCCGAAGACGTTCCCATGCAGCCCCTTGAGCCCCCCAAGAGGCTTGAGAGGGTCGAGACGGCCCGAACAGGTCTTGCTAGAACTCCACAGTCAAGAGAGTTGTACATCGATAGTTGGCTATTGGCCAAAATTGCGTCAAGGCTCAGCCCAACCCGGGAGAATTCTGGGGTGGCTCAAGGGGGTCCCAAGAGGGCTCCAGGCCGACGCCAAGAGACCCGCACGACGCCGTCGAGGCGCCCTGGACGACCCAAGAGGGCCCCAAGACAGCCCACTTTCCACTACGAGCACCACCACTGCAGGTAGACGGCGGATGGTTTTCAGATTTCGAAGGGCGCGTTACGGTCGTCGAGGTTTGGAAGGCCATACGCGTCCCACTTGTAGATTGTAGTCTATAGTTGTGGATGGTCGGGGCCGTGCAGTTGCGTTACGTAGAAGTTCGGCCCATGCCCTCGTAGTCTTTGAGTGTTGATATTGTCACTTGCGGGCAAGTGCGACGCCCTTTCCCTCGAAGAAGAAGAAGAAGACTAAGCACTTATGTAAGCATGAGCTTGCTTAGGTCCGCGTGAATTTCTTCGATCGGCGCTGGACCCCCTGGCGGCGCCTCCAGCGCTACCCCTGGCGCGCTCCGCACGCCAGGGAGGGGGTCCAGCGCTCGTCCAAGAAATTGGCGCGGACTTCCGAAAGCTTATGTTTATGCAGTTGTTCTTGCTCAAATCCCCTGGAATGGCATCAGTGACGCAGGTCGTGGCGCAGCGATATAGCTGCCGGGATTTCATTCCAGACAAAGTGCCTGACGAGGCGCTGTTGCGCGAGATTTTGACCAAGGCTTCCAGGGCGTCTTCGGATGGGAACACGCAGCCATGGCGCATGTACGTGCTGAGCGGGGCCGCCAAGGACGCTGTTGTGGACGCTGTGCAGAAGTCCAATCTTCGCGTGGCCGTTTCAGAATATCTGGAGGCATTCGGCCGCGGCCGCCGACTCTCCTGCCCCCTGCCGTAGGCGTCGGGGGCTCGCTCGTCCTCAACGTCGCTCTCGTCCTCGTCCGTTTCCTCCCCCTTTCATGGGTCTTCTGTGGGGCCCCCTTGGGGTCCTCCCAGGGTTGCGCGCTTGGGCTCGTTCTGCGGTCTGCCCTCCTGGGTCCCTGGGGGCTCCATCGGGGCCGCCTTGGGCCCTCAGCTTCCCGGGGGCGTCCCGCCATCCCGAGGAATCGCGGCCTTGGGGTCGAGGACCAGTAGTTCCTTGGACTGTGCTTGCCCTGGGGGGTCCTGGTGGTGTGTTGCGCCCGTGGCCGCCTCGATGCCGCCCCGTGCGTTGGCCGGCATTTCCAGGTGCTCGCGCGGTGGGCGCCCGTGGCCGCCTCGCGGCCGCCCGAGGCGTCGCCGTGCACGTCCAGGTCTCCTCCCAGGGTAACCCCTGTGGCCGCCTCGTGGCCGCCCCGTGCGTTGGCTGGCACTTCCAGGTCCTCGCCCTGCGAGCGCCCGGCATTTCCAGGGTTTCGCTTGGGGGGGGCGCCTGCGGCTGGCCGCCCCGCAGGTTGCACAGTACCCATTGCACCACAGGCTTCACGACACGGCTTGCACCACGTGGCTTGCGACACACACACACACACACACACACACACACACACACACACACACACACACACACACACACACACACACACACACACACACACACACACACACACGCACAGTTGGCACCACATGCATCAAGGTTTCCCAAAGACAAAGAGACTAGACCCCCATCCCGAGGCTGTATTTCACCCCCCTCCCTCGGGATACTGGTTCTTTCCCAACCATCCTGTGGTGTTGGTTCCTCGTTTTGAAGAGACAGTGCCCAGCGTTCCTTCCTTCCTCCTCCCCCTCCCCCTCATCCTCCCCCCCCCCTCCCTGCCTCTGCTCTCCGCATGCCCATCCCATTTCGGCACACCCCTCACACGTGTCGTGGTCCCATAGGGAGCCCCGCCTGAGGCCCCAATGGTAAAGTTCGCATGGCACCGCCGCCCCATTTCGGCACACCCCTCACACGTTCCGTGGCCCCACAGTAAGCTCCACCTAAGGCCCCAGTGGGAAAGTTCGCATGGCACCGCCGCCCCATTTCGGCACACCCTTTCACTTGTTTCGTGGCTACATAGGGAGCTCCACCTCAGGCCCAGTGGGAAAGTTCGCATGGCACCGCCGCCTTATTTCGGCACACCCCTCACACGTTTCGTGGCCCCATACGGAGCTCCGCTGAAGGCCCAAGTGGGGAAGTTTGCATGGCACCGCCGCCCCATTTCGGCACACCTCTCAAACGCTTCGTGGCCCCATAGGGAGCTTCACCTCAGGCCCCAGTGGGAAAGTTCGCATGGCACCGCCGCCCCATTTCGGCACACACCTCACAGGTTTCGTGGCCCCACAGTGAGCTCCACCTAAGGCCCTAGTGGAAAAGTCAGCATGGCACCGCCGCCCCATCTCGGCACACCCTTTCACACGTTTCGTTGTTCCGTAGGAAGACCCACCTCAGGCCCCAGTGGGAAAGTTCGCATGGCACCGCCGCCCGATTTCGGGACACCCCTCACACGTTCCGTGGCCCCACATTAGGCCCCAGTGGGAAAGTTCGCATGACACCGCCGCACCATTTCGGGACACCCCTCACACGCTTCGTGGCCCCATAGGGATCTACACCGAAGGCCCCAGTGGGAAAGTTCGCACGGCACCGCCGCCTCATTTCGGCACACCCATCACAAGTTTCGTGGCCCCATAGGGAGCTCCGCCGAAGGCCCCTGTTGGCAAGTTTGCATGGCACCGCCGCCCCATTTCGGCACACCCCTCACACGTTTCGTGGTCCCGTGGCACCGACGCCCCATTTCGGCACACCCCTCACACGTTTCGTGGCCCCGGAAGGGGCTCCACCCAAGGCCCAGGTGGGAAAGTTCGCATGGCACCGCCGCCCCATTTCGGCACACCCCTCACGCGCTTCGTGGCCCCATGGGGAGCTCCACGGAAGGCCCTACTGGCGACGATCGCAGGCGTTCTCCCGATTCATGCCGGCACACCTTTCACACGTTTCGTGGCAGAAGGCTATACCGCGTGCCGTTACTCGGAGTCTGCGCGCCCCCCACTTTCGTGTCATCTCCCTCGCGGCACTCGCAGCTGCATACGGTTGGGTCCTTCGTCTGGCCAGTTTTCATGATCATATGTTTTCTGCACGATCGTTCATCCCCGCCGATCCAGTATCGCCCCCCCCCGAAAAACTCACGCCGAGGTTGTATTCAACCCGCCCCCTCAGGAAATTGTTTTTTACGATCAGATCTGCTCTGCGCGACCGTTCATTCCCGCTGACCTAGTATCGCCACCCCCCCCGCTCAGCAATTTCATGCGAAAGAATGACATGCGGAGCACGCGCGTTGATATGTGTGTTAATATGTTCAAATGATATGCAGGCCACATACGCGCGTACCGTCGCTCGCATGTCAGAATCACTCAAACACAATAGACTTCTTGACAAGTTCAAGACGTACTGACTCAAAACCATGGTCGCCTGTGCACCAACTGGGGAAGAACACTACGCACGCGCCTTCGTTGGAACCGAATAAAAACAGGACAATTGCTTAATTATGTTAATGTGGACCATGCGGTCCGCACGCGAGCGCATGTCGAAAGCATGCCGCGCACGCACCAGCTCGTCGTCAAATAGGTTTATACCTGCCACGCGCCCATCTTTGCGCTTACGGAGAAATCTTTGCAACACCAAATGTGTCCTAAGGATTTCAACGTTGAGGTATTCAAACACATATGAACCAACATTCGGTTCACTGAGAATTCTGTCAGAATTCTAGAATGTCTGCGCGCACATGTCCTCATCATCCTCACCCAGCACCGCCGTCATCATAATCGCCAGCGTCATCATTGCCACTGTCACCACCATCACATCAACACCATCGTCATCGTCATATTCCTAGTCGTCGTCATCGTCGTCGCCGTCGATGTCGCCGACCTCGTCATTACAGGCGGCCCGGATTAGTAGGTCGACCCTGCCAGATCAAGGGCACCCTCGTGTCCTATGTTTTGCGGCCCATGCCTCCTGCATTTCTGTAGCAACGTGGCCCCCGGAAAGGTCTTGTGTCCTCTCGCGTGTCCTCTCCAATCAAGTCCGACTGCATCGCGAACAGCCTCAGCGCCGTCGTTCGCCGATGCTGTCATAACCATCATCACTCGCCCGCCCGACTCCTGGATCTGCACGAGCAGGGTCCGCGCGCCATGGCGCCAGTTACTTAGGATTCTGGAGCAAGTTCCGATGGGTGATGACACTCACGGGCATTCGGGATTTTGCTAGCAAGTTGCGGGCGGGTGGGTGGGATCGTGGCCCTGGTGTAGGAGGTGATCACGCGTGGATGCCCACAGTGAAGTGCACTGCATAGATTCCGCCACGTGTATTGCACCGCATCGATTCCATTGCACGGCTTGCACAGCGGAGTTCGCACCGCAGATCTAGCCCCTTTTATAGATTGCATTACATATCAGTGTGCACATCGATATTGCAAGACACCATTGTTTGCGGCCGCATTAAGGGACCGTGGTCCTGGGAACAAGAGCTCGTCATGTTTATCAGAGTTCGCAAGGAGCTACCGAGTTGCAAGGCACCCCCAGGTTCGGGGAAATAAGTACATCAGGCTACCATGACTAAAAACTTACAACAAAGAGGGGCAAGTAAACAATGACTCTTCACATACAACGACCCCTCAGAAAATGCAAGTCGAAGGCTCACAGTGTAGCCCCCCACCCAGAGGGGCGGCGGGTCATAATTACCCCGATCAGAAAGCTAGCAGCCACATCGTCTATGATGATGCGGAGCTCACTAAGAAAACCAACGAGCGTATGCAACATTTCCGCAAGACGATTTACAGCCAGCGTCGAAAGGTGTGCGGAGAAATGTTGTACAAGTCGATCAATGTCGCGAAGGAGGACCTGCCTGGGAAGTTGCAGCAGTTGCAGAAAAATGGATCGTTCTTTAACGCCCCAGTTGGAATTATTGTCACCCTCGACCGAATGTTCGATCGTTGTGGTTGGGGAAACGTTGGCATGTACCTGGCAACATTCGCTTTACTTTGCGAGGAGGCGGGGCTCTCAACATGCTTCCAAGGATATTTTGGCGTCAATCACGCAGCTGTGGAGAAGGTTATCACGCAGATGGATCCAGAGACCGAAGTTATTTGGTGTGGTATCGCTGTGGGCTACGCAAACCAGGAGCATCCGATCAACAGCTGGCGCACGGAGCGCGCGAAGATCGATGAGTATGCACATTTTATTTCCAAGTTATGAACTGGAGATCGACAGCAGATCCGTTGTTGTGAATGTGTGAAGTGGTATTGCGACCGGAGTAGTCGTAATTTTCAGACGTTGTAAAGTTGGTTCGGCTGTAAAATGATCTCAGCATGCAGTTGTGACAGAGAGTGTAGGCAGAGAAATAACCAAAACACATCAGCGTTGAAGCCCCCCTCCCCGCACAGAGTTCGTGAAGGCCTTAAGGCTGGTGCCGCCGACCAAAAGGGGGACGACGACGACGGAAGCGACGAAACACATTCCAAAGCTTCAGGTCAATAATTGAATGTATCTCTCTGGGATTTGCTTGGGAGTTGTCTTGGGACTCTCACGGGCCTCCTGGGGGCCTCTCTGGCGCCGGCGCGAGGACGCGAAGACTGAACTAGAGCTCTGCGTTGCACGAAGTGCGAGCTCATAGAAGACCAGCGCGAGGGAACAGCAGGAACAGAGCGAGGAACAGGACCAGGGCAAGCCCCCATAATGTTGCAATCTTTGGCAGTGCGCCCTCCCGTCCCATGGTCCCTCACGAGTCCTTGGGAACTTTCTTTTGTCGCGAGAAGAAGAGCTTCCTGGGCCTGCCAGCGGAGGTCCTTTTGAAAAGGAGTGCCCTTGCGTCTTCCTAGCGCGTACGCAGACATGCGACAAGCTATGACCATGCAGTTCAACGGGGTGCCCAAAGAGATCTGCGCTTTGAAAAAGAACCGCAGCCCCCCATCACGTTGTTACGCATGAGTTTCGAATATTTCTCCAGCGACGGCTTCATTTTGAAAAGGGACCGCCTCCCATCCTCGAATTTGCTACATGTGTTGAAGCTTCGGGTTGTCAGATTTCACAAGTAACTTGAAACGAGTGCCCAATTCTTTTTTTCCAAAAAAGGAGTTGTCCTGCATCCTTGTCACTGCTCCAGATGTTCGAAGCCAATGTGCACCGTACTAGGACGCGAGCCCTGAGTATAAAACCACCTGCGGCCCGTCCTTGTAACTGGTGCAAGCGACGAAGGAACATGCGTGCGAAGCTAAGGCTGAGGGTAGGGCTTCAGTGCGATGGCCACTTGTGCTCTGTTCCGGATATGTGCAGACTTTGAAAGCGAATTCGTTCGGCGTTAGGGTTATAGATAGGCAGTTCCTTCAAAGTTGGCATCCTACATTATGTTAGTATCGGTATTGTTTTACCGATCCCCATCCCCATCCCCATCCCCTTCGAGACCTTCACCACATTACCACCCAGTTAGGGATACACCCGTCGAAACCCGAAGGCAACGACCTGTATCCCCATCTAGGGGGGCAAGTCGGCCGGTGGGGCCCAGGCCACGCCGCTGGGGATGCGGATCGGTCCAACAATACTCACATCATTCTTCTCGTTCAAAGGCTTGGCAGCGCTTGGACGTGTGCATTTTTTATCGGCAAGGGCCATCGAGGAGCATTATTGTTCACGCTGCGAGAAAAAACGCACGAATGAACGAACGGAAAGTCATACTCCTTAGGCGCGTGGACTCGTGCAAACTAGCTACTCATGTAGAAATTGACGACTCTAGACTTCCATGCTTCTGCGTCACTCACATCGACGTTCAACTGCGCAGCGACCTTACCAATCTGAGCCGACCAAAAAACGCACGAAGCCGAAAACATGCACAGGGAATAGACGCCCGAGCCATGGCGAGGAGGACGGGCTGGGCTCCTTCGCAGCACGAGACCTCGCCCGAGCGGCAGGCCCATCGGGCGCTCCTCATGCGAGGGGCTCGGCGCCTCCCGCAGTGGAGATTAGCAGTCGTGTTGGCTCGGGGCCCTCCTCCTCCCCTCCTCCTCCTCCTCCTCCTCCTCCTCCTCCTCCTCCTCCTCCTCCTCCTCCTCCTCCTCCTCCTCCTCTCCTCCTCCCCATCCTTCCTTATCCTCCTCCTGCCGTTTCTGCCGTTTCTCGCTCAGCCAGCGTCTTCTCATGCGCCCGCGGCGCGGAACGCGCCGCAGCAGCCCACCAGGGCCGTGTGGGCACTCAGACGGCGGCCCCGGGAACCCGACTCCGAGGAAGAGAGAGGACCAGGGACCAACGAATACCTCGGAGGAGGGGAGAGGGGCCGGGTTTTCAAAAAAGGGAGGCCCGACAGGGCCTTTGGCGGGCGCCGCGCGCGCCCGCGCCCGCGGGCGTCAGGCGCACGGCGCGCGGCCAGGCCGTCGGCCTCTTCGTGGGCCAGCGGCCGCACGGCGGCGGCTTCTCGTAGTTTTCGAACCTGTGGTATTGCTTGACTCTGTAGTGCGTGAACCTGTGGTACTCGCCCCAGTCGTGCTGGTCAAGTGGTACTGCTTGACTCTGCGGTGCTCGAAACTGTGCTTCTCGCTACAGACGTGCTAGGTCAACGTAGTACGGCTTGGCTCCGTGGTTCACGAGCTGTGGTACTCGACTCAATCATGATGGTCGTCGTAGTACAGCCTGAAACTGTGGTGCCAAGCCTGTGGTACTCGACCCAGTCGCGTTGGTTGATGTGATAGTGCTTGACTCGGTGGTCCTCGATCCTGTGGTACTCGACTCGGCCGTGCTGGTCGGCGATGATGGCGGGAGGTGGTGGTGGAGTGGATGGTCGGTTGGGGGGATCCCCAGCCCTTGTAGTTGCTTGTCGTGCGTGCTGGTTGGTGGGTCGTTGGGAGGTCGGCTTGTTGCTGGTGTTGTGGTATGGGTCGTGGGCGCACATATGAGGCCTCCATGCACCGACTTCAAATGGGGGTCGTGGCGGCCCCACCTCGTCCCGCTATGGCTAGGGGTCACAGTGCCCTCGGTGGGGGCGAACCCCAGGCCTGGTGCTTACTTCTGTCGGTGTGGGATGTATCGGCTGCCTTGCGCTTCGCCCATTGGGCGCTCGGGTAGCCCCTCCTCCGCCATGGGGATGGTGGGGGTGGCGAGCTAGGGCGGCCCGCGGGGGCGCAGGTAGTGGACCACCTGCCCCCCCCTGCCCCTCACCGTCCCCCCTGGTAGGCGCGGGTAGTACTCGTCCTGCCCCCCCACCCTTCGAGCCCGTCTCGAAGTTTGATCCATGCCTCACCAGGGCAGCGTTGACTTGTAAAGAGGTGCGGTGGGCCATACAAGGGTTGTGAGTGATGGTCGATCGGTGGTACAACATGGTAGTAGAGGTCGAATACCGTATGGCCAGCTGGTAACCACTGAGTTGTATACGTACGATCGCTGCCTGAGTGCATACAGCAAAACGTAGCGACTTGTGCCTGGGGTGTTCCCACGCATTCGGGGCTTCCCCAGGACTTGCGTCCTAACGCCCCATGCAAAACTTGGCGACGCTGCCTGAGGTGTTCCCACGCATTCGGGGCTTCCTCAGGACTTGAGTCCTGACGCCATAGTGCTTGTCGTCGAAGACGCTCTTCGCCGCGGACAGCCCTGTGGTACTCGACGTGGTCGTGCTCGAACCTGCGGTACTCGATATAGTCGTGCTGGTACAAGTGGCAGTGCTTGACTCAGTGGCGCCCGCACCTGTGGTGTTCGGCACAGTCATGCTGGTCAACATGGTAGTGCTTGTCTCCGCGGTGCACGGACCTATGGTACTCGGCTCCGACGTGCTGGTCGACGTAGCACTGCTTGCACTGCTTGACTCCTATGGTGCACAAGCCTGTGGTGCTCGAGTCATTCTTGCTGCCCATCTGCCAAGAAATAACAAAATACCGTACAATGATAGACTGGGCGCTTTGCTGCCTCTGCCCAGAGAGGATAAATACTCGCATCGAAATCACTGGCAGAACGAATGCGTGATATAACCAATAAGAATACCCGAGGGGAGGCACGCTCCGTCGCCTTTGAGGGATCGTGCCCACCCGCATGGGCGCTACGGCCCCCCCCCCTCGAGAATGGCAAGCCATCGAAGTCCATGAAAACACATACTCGAATTTTCACTCGGTCGTGCTGGTCACGCAAAATACTCAGACAGTAAATTCAGTAAGATACGCAGTCCCTCGATCGCTCAGTCGGTAAAATATTGCAAAATAGTAATGCACTCAGTCCACTGGACGTATTGCAAAATCTGCAATACTGCAAAATAGTTATCCACTCACGACTCAGTTGTGCAGGTCGACGTGATATTGCCTGAGCCTGTGGGCCCGAACTTGTGGTGCTCGACCCAGTCGTGCTGGTCGACGTAGTACTGCGCGCATCTGTGAGTGCTGCTAGCGGCGGTGGCTGCCCCGCGCCCTGTGACAGTCGTGCCCCAGCTGTTCTGGCTCTGTGTAATGGTCCAGTGGCGCGTAGAAGCTGTGGTAGTACTCGTCTGTCTCGGCCCACAGTGCTTCGTCGTCTGCGAGCTGCCCCCAGTGGGCTGCGAAGGCTGCTGCCATTGCCTTGCACAACCTCGAAGGATATTCTTTGAGAGGGGCCGTCCTCCAGCCGCCCTGCCCGTCGCGTCCGCAAGCGCGGTCGCGTCCACGATGTCCGCACAGTTGACCACCGGGCATTGCTCCGAGCTCTTGCGTGAGTTCACTGAGGTGTGCCGCCAGCAGACACGTTGGCTTTCGCGCGGCCTGCCCAAACTGGCACTGGTTGACGTAGTGTTGCTGGACGTTCGTCTGCTCCAACAGCCACAGAGTCTCCGCTCGATGCCAGCTACTCGGCGCTTGAGGACACCAGGTAGCTGGGGCAGGATGTTCGAGGATCGCGGAAACGTTGCACTGCAAGCCCGTGGTGATGAGCAGTATGGTTGAGCGAGCAACGACATATGTACATGTACGCCCTCCGCGATCTTGAATGCACGAACGTCCTCGTTCAAACGCCCCCCAAGGGAAGCTAACCGCGTACGTGTACATATGTTGCTGGCCTCTGAATGGTTGTCCTGTAGAGTTCGCTGGCCAGTGCTAGCTGCTGGAGTTCCGTTTGGTTGGCTGCTTGCATGCCCCAGGGGAAGTCGCGGGTGCGTAGTGGGCGCGGGGCGTTTGCTTCAGTGGCGCGCCAACGTGACGAGCGCCGCGCCTCGCGCGGAGGGCCGGCCACGATGCCGAAGATTTTGCCATGACGTATCGCCGCACACCAAAAGGCAATCGCGTCTGGCTTGGTCAGGTCGCCTTTGTCTGGGTCGATCTGCACATCGACTGATAACACTATCACATTGCATTCCCGAATGCGCATCTCGAAATGGTGCTGGAAATCCTCCACTCGGCGTCTTCCAGAGAAGAGGTGTAGCAAGAACATGGTCGTGGTGGCCATGGGCCTGCACGGTA